ACAAACTCCTTTTGTTAAGGACTTACTATACTATGTTACATATACAATATAGATATACAATAATTCTGCAAAGTACATTATCACTATTCCCATCTTACAGATAAAAAGGTAAGGTTAAGAAACACGTTCAAGCTATTAGAAGATAAAGAGATGATCCGTGTCTGTTTAATCTAATACCATATCCATGTTCTCTGTACCATATCACACTGCTTCACATAAGAATTTGATCTCTGGATAACAGAGGAAATATTTTCATTTTGAAGATGTTGCAATCATTTTACACTCCAGGTCCACTAATACAGTATAATGCTGCTTATGTTATTTTCATAGTGGTGTATTCATTCAACTGTCATTTCTTGAGTGTCTATTACCTGCCAGGCATTGTTCCAAGTCCTGGGAATGAATTAGTAAACAAAACAAAAGATTCCTACCATCTTGGGGGTTTATACTCCCACTTGATCATAAGTCGTCTCCCATATCTATTCCACATGACTCAATCCTGAACACTTAATAAAGGAAATCAAATAGCAAGGACCGTACTGTAACATGTTACAATGACATGCAGCAAACTGAACATGAAGAGCAACCTGAAGCCAGGTATGGTGGCACATGCCTGTAATGCCAGAACTCTGAGAGGCTGAGGCAGGAGGATCACAATTTCAAGGCCATCCTGGGCCTGTCTCGAAAGTGAGAGCCTGTCTCGAAATAAAATATAAGAAAGGCTGGGAATGTAGCTCAGTCTGAAGACCCTGTTTCAATCCCCAATACTGGAACAGGGTAGGGAGCAACTTGGAAAATATCAGCAGTCCTACAGAAAATGGAAAAAACTTCATAAAATAAAGAATCCTATGCCTCTTTCCTTCTCCTACAGCTTATGCCTTCACTTTTCAAAAAAAAGTTATCTTAACAAAATGAACATAATTTCTTGTAAGCATCAACAGATACCTTGCACCCTTTCTAAACTCCTCCTTCAAAAGATAAATGTCAGTGTATGACAAGTAGTAATAACTTTCTGCTTAATTTTGTTAATACAAACTACAAGATGTTGCAGCTTAGAAAAATGAAGAATGCAAGAACTAGGTGAGGAAAAAAAAGGTAATTCTGCAGAGTAATGTGAGAGTGCAAAGAACTTCCTTTATTTTTCCACCATCTGCTTGCAGGTGCTTTCATTCTTAAAACAAAGGAAAATCCATTCCCTGAAGTTCTAGACAACCTCCTTCTCTTCTCCTTAACAACCCTTAGTTATCCCTTCTGGTCCACATCCTGCTCTACCATATTATTCCAAAACAGCAACACGAAAACATCCTCTACTGTGGCCATCTCAGCAACAAAAGAAAACCTGCCTTGATCCCCTCATGACCTCTAAGTACTTCTCCATTTCTGTTTGCTCTTCACAGTAAGATGTGTCATCTCAGAAGCTTATCTTTATATGCCATTTCCTTCCTCTCGATCAAGCTTCAGTCTTTCTTGTACATCACTGACAACTGCTCTTGTCCAGGTCACCAATGATCTTCCTATGGCTTTATCTGTTATTTATAAGGGCCTCCATTCTACATAGCATTGTACACAGAAAAGCACAATTTCTCAAAGCATTTTATCCTCTGCTACTATAATTCTACTCTCCTCATTTTCCTTCTTCCTCTCTAGCCAATCCTGAAGCTCTTTTGTTGCTTCCTCCAGGATCACAAAACTCTAAAGCTTAGAATTTCAGAGTTTGGTGCCAGGTTCTCTTCTTTATTTTCTCATACACATTTGACAATCTGTTCCTAGTTGATGTCATACAAACTCAGAGCTATAAATACTATCAATGATTATGAGGACTAATTCCCTGCACGCCAGACTCAAATGCCCAGCCATTCATTTAGCATCTCCATTTTAATGCTATAAGAATAACCAAAACCCAACTCTCCACAGAATTCCTCACCTCAGTAGTACACAACCAACTAAGACAAGCATTTAGAAGCCATCACTGATGGCTCCCACAACCCTCAGCCATCCATTACCTAGTCCTATTGAGTCTATGCTATCATACTATCTTGAAATCCAGCACTTCATTTTTCATTGCCATGATCCTAGTTCAAGGCAACTTGACAACTGGAGTTGCCTCTAAATTGTCTCTTTCCATACTCGGAAATCCATCTTCTACACAGCATACAGCCATCTTTCAAAAGGCAAGGAAAATTACAATCCTACTTAAAGTCTTTCAGTAGCTCCTTAAATAGTAAAATCCAAACTCCTTGCTGGGACTTACAAAGCCCTGCAAGATCTAATCCACGCTTACCACTTCATCTTCTTTTCACTCATAACCCCTCCACTAAATTCCTAATTCACCAAAGACTCTACTCTCAGTATCTTTCCAAGTGCTGTCACCTTGCCCAGTGTAGATTTCACACAACTACTTCTCACTTCTCATATCTTAGTATAAAAGTCACCAGTTCATAAAGATCTTTTCTAATCATTATATTGATTAGAAAAGATCATACCACTTAGATTTCCTGCCTAGCATTTATCTCAATTACTAGATTTTATTTATTTCTTTACTGGCTTATCCTCTCTCTGCCTTCCTGCAATATAAGCTTTATCTCTTTTTCGGTTGTATATAATAGTGCCAATACATATTTGTAGAATGAATGGCAGAAAGAACAAATCAAGGATGGAGAAAGGAAAGCAAAGAGGGAAGATATTTCCAACTATACCTAGGTTTCCACCATTTTGTAATACAGATTTTTCCATACTGTAAGTGAAAGCAGAGGTTTCTCCATTGACTATATTGAGCGTAACAGTAACGTTCTATATATAATTTCACCTAAAGTGCAGCTCTAACAGTAATGTGCTTAATTTATACTCAATGCATTTTTACTGGAAGTTCAAATTAAGTTATTAGTACTCTAGTCTTGGGGAGTGACTGGAAGACACTTAAATTTGCCAGTGTTAAGTTCAGAGAAAACTTTGCTTAAAAGAGTGTTAAGGGGCTGGGGATTTAGCTCAGTGGTGCCGCCACGCCTGCCTCGCAAGCATCAAGGTCCTGAGTTTTATCCCCAGTACCAAAGAAAAAAGTGTCAAAAGGAAAAAATAATACAAAATCCAAGGGTTTTATGACTAAACTCGTTAAACAATGCCTCTAGGCTAGCAAAATATTAATGCTAGGTGATGAGTAAATGGAGGTATATATTATCTCTACTTTTTATGTATGTCTGAATTTTCCAATAAAAAGTTAAATAAATTAAAAATTACTTCTAAGAAGTCAAAAGAGAATACATGTCTCTAGATCACAGATACATTCCTAGCAAGCGCACTCAGTTGTCATTTAGAGATTTAATTTAAATGGACCGGTAACAATTCCTAATGGTGTCTAGGGGCTTCTGAGCACATCGGAGGACACAGGGAAAAAGGGCCATGCACTCACCTGCCAAAGCCATAGCCTCCCTCCTATCCCCTCTCTATGGGGATCTATAATAAAAAAGCTCAAAAATGGCAACTTCAGGGAGGAATAAGATCGTTTGAAAGAGGAAAGAAATAAAAGTATATAAAGGGAGAAAATACATTATTTTTGCTTAAATTCAAGCAGAACATTTTCCACTAGAATTTTAATGAGCTAATATTTTAACGCAACACTTCAAATTCAGGAAGGGATTTACAGAAGACTTCATGCAGATACACCAAAGGCCAGCGCTCTCAGCCAATAAAGCCCTTCCTCACAGGATTCCTCTCTACACTCCAGACCTTCTCTACGACATTAAATAAAATGTTATAGCTGTTAGTGATTAAAGGGTGAAAATTAAGCCCTTGTTTACTAGGCAATACAAAGAACAGAAAAATTTAAAATACTCTGGCAAATGTTTAGCTTTTTTCTACAGAAAGTCTAGTCCATAGGAAAACAAAAAGTAATGGCTTATTTTCAGTTTGTTTAGATTAAAGAACACGATTTTTAAATTTCCTATTAGGAAATCCAGGGAGTGCTGCCAGGTACAATTTTTTTTTTGGTACCAGGAATCGAACTCGGGTCCTTGTGCTTGCAAGGCAGGTGGCAGAACCACTGAGCTAAATCCCCGGCCCTGCTAGGTACAATTTTAAGAAATCCATTATAACTTTACAAATCAATCTATGAACATAATGTGATGGATCTAAACCAGCACATTAAAACTCTGTTTGTTGGGCAGGGGATTTAGCTCAGTGGTTCTACCACCTGCCTTGCAAGCACAAAGACCCGAATTCAATCCCTGGTACCAAAAAAAAAGAGGAAAAATAAATTATGGTAGAACTCTTTAAATCTGTAAATGTAATCACTGGTATAGGTGTTGTTGTTGTTGTTGTTGTTGCTGTTGCTGCTGTTGAATTCTGTTTCTCAGGCTGGTCTCAGATGCCTAGGCTCAAGTGATCCTCCTGCCTCAGCCTCCTCTGTAAGCTGGGACTATAGGTGCGGGCCATTGCTCCCAACTTGGTTTACAAAAAAACTAAACAAAGCTGAGGATGGGGTAGTTTCTTTCACTATCAATAACAGACTTCTCATATGCAGGAAACAGACAATCTGAATCCCTAGACCAGTGGTGGAGAACCCACAGTGCAAGCGCCACAGTGAGCACACAGAGTCCTCTCTGTCGGCACACAAGCTAAGCTGCCCCAGCAGAGGAGCACCAGATAACAGCGCACAAAAGTGCGCCAAATGCAAACTTTTACCTTTCAATAAAAAGCTGTTTGTATCACTGAAAGCTCTGTTGTCGTGTTCTTCTTTTAAGACAAAAGATGTTAATGTATGAGTTGTATTTTCTAAACTAAAACCTCAACATTCAGGTTTAATTGCAGTGTTGGCACTTTGAGATAAACAAGTGAGTTTGGGGTTGCACTTTGGGCGCTAAGTCTCTAAAAAGGTTAGCCATCACTGCCTTAGACCAATCTTAACTGATGCAGGGAAGTAGGGGAAAGGGCAGAGAGAAAAGAGGTACCAATTCCTATCATTTTCACTTCTTGCTTTGTTTTTGTTTAAAGAGGCAGGGTCTCACCATGTGGTTTGGGCTGGCCTTGAACTCACTATGTATAGCTGGCCTGGCTGGCTCAAGGTTCCAGTGATCCTCCTGCCTCAGTCTCTGCAGTGCTGGGATCCACGTCGGGCTCTCTCACTCCATCTTGAGAAAACAAAGATATTACCATTCAGAATGAATAAGCAAAATATGGTATAGACACACAATGAAATATTACTCATCTTTAAAGAGGAAGTTAATTCTGATACATGCCACAACATCAATGAACCTTATATTACGTTAAATCAGTCACAAAAAGACAAATACCGTAGTATTTGATTCCAACTACAGGGGGCACCTATAGTAGTCAAATTTCATGGAGACAAAAAGTAGTAGGGTGGCTGCCTGGGGCAGTAGTGGGGAGGGGAGAGAAAAAGAAGGAGTTTCTTGCTAATAGGTAGGATGGCTTTTCAGTTTCACAACATGAAGAGTTACAGAGACATATGGTAGTGATAGTTGCACAACAATATGAACCTATTTAATACCACTGAATTGTACTCGTAAAATGCTTAAAATGGTAAATTTTATTTTATAATAAGAACTGAGAAAATGTTGCCATTCGTAATTTTAATATAAGCTTATTAACGACAGGTTCATGGAGAAGCACTGAACATGAATGGAGCTGGCAATCACATGTCTAGGTTTCAGTGTTCTTGGTCATAAAATGAGAAAGGAAAGGAGAAGAGCAGCAAGTCCTGGAGGACTGGAGTACTAGGGATGATGTGAGTAGCAAAGACAAGAGCCCCAAATCAGAGCTCCCACACAAGCTTGCCACAGTTTAGACCTTTAAATGACAGCAGGGCCCTGAGTAAAGACTTTCTAATCACATCAGAAGAGGCCAGTATGATCTTTTAAGTGACAGAGATCTAATCTGGGACATGACTGGGCCTTAACACAGATTTACTCAACTCAAGGAAATGAGCACCTAATCACACTAAGAGATCATGGCCACAAGTGGAGATACGTTTCTTGCTGTGTGCCATTTCAAGAAGCTGAGTTTAGTTTTGTGGTTCGACACATGGATCTGACTAGCCAAACTGGGATTTAATCCTTAGCACTTTTTTTTTTCAGTACTGAGGACTGAACCCAGGGTCTTTACACCCAGCTATATCCCCACCCCTTTCTTATTTTTTATTTTGAGACAGGATCTCAAGTAAGTCATTAAACGGCCCAGGCTGGGCTTGAACTTGTAATCTTACTGTTTCAACCCTAATCCTTAGCTTTCTTACATTTCAGTCATAATCTAAGATACCGTCCTGTGCTATTTATTATTTGGTGTTAACAGCGCAAAGTGCTTAGTTTGTCCTACATGTAGGTTTACCTCCACACATCAATTAAACAAATGCCAACTGTAGTGCATAGTGGTACTTAGCCACACACCTACCCTTCTATTCTCTCCCCTGAACTACCAGACCTGAAGTCAACGCTGCAAACCTCCTCATCAGCTGCGCTCCCGTCAATTCTACAGGAGCACTGCCAAGAGCACAAGTTCCCACTGGGTGATAGCAAACACAAGCAGCTGTGGTGGAAATGCAGTTTATGAAGCATCTTTTCCCTTTTGCTCCTCCGGCCCTTTCTTCCTTTTGTAACCAATTCCTAGAATTACATTATCCTATCGATTTTATTCTTTTTCTTTTCTTTTTTCTTGGGGCAGGTGTGTGTTTTTATGGTGGTACTGGGGATTGAACCCAAGGCCACAGAGTTATGTCCCTGATCCTTTTTTAAATTTTCAGATAAAGTCTCACTAAATTGCTCAGGCTGCCCTCAAACTTGTGATCCTCCTACCTCAGCCTGTCAATAGCTGGGATTACAGGTGTACCCTACTGTGCAGGCTTTATATCCCTTTTTGATTCAAGCACATGGAGTGGTCTTCTGACTAGTTCCATCAAATTCACAATTTATATAATTCATGAGCCAAGGTGGAGAGCTATGCTATGAGAAATTCATTCATCCATTCATTCAATAAATCTTTACTGAACAACTATAGGCCAGATCCTGTTCTTGGTACTAGCGATACAGGAGGAAAGAAACAAAAACCCTTGTCCTCCAGGAGATTACATTGCAACAGAGAAGACTGAAAATACACAGGATAAATAAGTAAAATACATATGTGTAAGATAAGTGCTAAAAAGAAATAAAGCAGGGGCTGGGGACTTAGCTCAGTGGTTGCGCTGCCTGCCTCGCAAGTCCAAGGACCCAAGTTCGATCCCCGGTACCCCAAAAAAAGAAAAAAAGCAGAATTATGAAATGTTAGAGGGTTAAAATTTTAGATACCTAGGTCACTGAAGTGACTTCTGGAAAAAGACATGGCCCTAATCATGCACGTATCTATGGGAGGACATTCCAAGGAAAGAAAACAGTACATGCAAGGGCACTAAGGAAGGAGGCCTCTGGGCATGCTGAAGAATAGACTCCTAGCTGGGTGTGGTGGCATATATCTGTAATCCTGCACTCTGGGAGGCAGAGGCAAGAGGACTGTAAATTTGAGCCATGCCCGAGTAACTTAGTGAGACCTTCTGAATAAGTGAGAGGATGGATGAATGAATGGATGGATAGACAGATAGATAAAATAGATTCCTATTTGGCCAGAGGAGGAGGAGGCCTGAGAGGTCGGGAGACCAAGCAGGGATTGGGAACCTTGCAGCCTGCCATAAAGGATTTAGCTACAGCAGTTGATTCTGAGGAGTGACATCATGTGACCTACCTGTTAACAGGGTCCTGCTATGTCACCAGTATACTGCAAGGGCAAAGGCACATGGAGAAACAGCTAGGAAGCTTGTGCAACAACCCAAGTAAAACTGAATGACAGCTAAGACCAAAGCACTGGCAGAAAGGATGCTGAGCAAATTTTGAATATATTTTCAACTCCTAGCTGATCCTTAAAAAATTAGGAGACGATTCCTGAATCTTGCTGGAATCCACGCAACAGAAATTTCTATGAGATTCCTACCAGGTAAGAATATAACAGCTTTGAGCCGGGGATTTAGCTCAGTAGCACAGCACCTGCCTTACAAGTGCAAAATCCTGAGTTCAATCCCCGATACCAAAAACCAAACAAAACAACAACAAAAAAGAGATTATAACAGCTTTGGCCAAAGATAAATGAACTACAAATTGACATGCTGCAATAATATAGGATAGGGCCGGGGATTTAGCTCAGTGGTGCCACCGCCTGCCTCACAAGCGCAAGGTCCTGAGTTCGATCCCTGGTACCAAAAAGAAAAAAAATAATAATAATAATAATCAATATAGGTAAATACTGATGTACAACATGATAGAGTTTTGAATTTTTTAGTATGGTACAGAAATATAAAGAAACATTATAGAAATACAGTAGTACCTATAAATTTAATTTTATTTCATCAAATTAGAGATAAAATATTACCTTGTCAACAGTATTTCCAAGAGGAAAAATATTATATGTAGATTTTCTAAAAAGCCAACAAGAAAAGTTAGAACTAGAAGGAATCAAGCTCCTCCATTCCCTTCATTTTTTAAATTTTTTATTTTATTTATGGGTGGGGGCAGGGTCTTGCTGTGTAGTTCAGGCTGGTCTTGAACTCACTATATAGCCAGCCTACGCTGGCTTCAAGCTTGAGGCAATCCTCCTGTCTCAGGCTTCAAGTGCAGGGACTACAAGCATGCACCACCACGCCCAGCTCCTTTCATTTTTAGAACAAGGTAGTAAAGCCCAGATAAAAAGGGAACCTGGTCCTTCTTTAAGTTTTAAAAATGTTCATTAGACCCAGGGATTTAGCTCAGTGGTGCCACTCCTGCCTCGCAAGTACAAGGTCCTGAGTTAGATCCCAGTATCAGGGGAAAAAAAATTAAATTAAAATGTTCATTAGTCTAATACTGTGATGAAAATATTTCTAAATTGTATTTTTTCTTCCCTGTCTTCTTAAAAGAGACTCCTAAAGATGCTGTTACTTTTCCCTCTTAACCCTCATTCTTTCTAGAGAACAACTACACAAGCCAGTGTAACACTGGACTCTGCTAACTACTCCCTTTTCTTTTTTTCATCTATTTTGAGTTCACAAATTTTCCAGTTTATTCTAGTTGGCTATTGAGGCTCTCTATTATATTTTGATTTCATTTGCTGAGTTTTTTTAAGTCCAAGATTTCTGTTTGGTTCTTTCTTATATTTATCTCTTTGTTGAACTTCTGATTTCATTTCTCAGATGATGAATTGTTTTCCTGAGTTTGTTGAATTACCTATCTGAATTCTTTTGTACCTCACTGAGATTTTTTTAAATGATTATTTTTAATCTCTTTTCAGGAATTTTGTTGATTTCTTTTTCTTTGGGAGCCTGTTACTTGAGAATTGTTGTTATCCTTGCCTGCACTATATAGCCCTAACAATCTCTACTCATCTCACTTCCAACTGATGGCATCTGACTAGAAGAGTTAAGAGCCATGTATCAGCTTTGGTGCAGTTATGGCAAATGTTGTTAGCACTAGGATACTGATTTTACTTGCTCTCCATATTGGCCTGTGTTTTTTTGGTTTGTTTCTTTTTTTTGGTACTGGAGATCGAACTCAGGGCCTTCCGCTTTTGAGGCAGGTGCCGGAACCACTGAGCTACATCCCCGGCCCCTGGCCTGTGTTTTTCATATAGTGCTAAGGTTGGTCCCACGTAAATGGTTGGACAGTAATATAACATATAGTTCTGTAGAAAAAGCTCTAACCTTAAATGTAATTAATCACTTTTAAGAAAGTGTAAAATTTTAAATTAAAAGAAAAATAATAACTATATAAACAGATGAAAAATCAAATTGCCAAAGCATGTCATCAAACAAATGCTTGAAAGTATAAACAAAAGACTCATGCTGTAATAAAAGGGCACTTCATTTCCTCTAAAACCTACTATTCTACCAAAATTCTCCAGTGGGCTAACATGAACTAAATTTTTTGGCCACTTTCCTATCATTTTACCAAAATCACTTTAATTTTAACAATTAATTTTAAAAATTACTACTCTAGGACCAGGGATTTAGCCCAGCGGTTTTGCCATCTGCTGCGCAAACCAAGGACCCAAGTTCGATCCCCGGTACCAAAAAAAAAAAAAAATTAATACACTAGAAAAAGATTCATAAAATCACACAAAACTGCTATGCATAGTGCCATCTGCCTAAAATCTCAGCTATTGAGGGTACTGAGGAAGGAGGATAACAAGTTCAAGACACCCTGGGAAATTTAGCAATACACTGTCTCAAAATAAAAAATAAAAAGAGCTGGGTACGTAGTTTAGTGACACAGCATATGTGAAGCCCTGGGTTCAATCCCTGGTACTACAAATAATAGTAATAAAAAACAATGAACTGTAAATCAAAAAGCCAATGATTAACTCACAAGGACTCAGCATAATAACTCTTCATCAGTAAAGACCAAACAGCAGCATTCAAGAATAATACAAATTTGAGGGCCAGGTATTTAGCTCAGTGGTTCCGCTGCCTGCCTCGAAAGCACAAGGTCCCAAGTTCGATCCCTGGTACCAAAAAAAAAAAAAAAAGAATAATACAAATGTGAAAAGCTGAGCCCCACATAGTAAATACTATATTTCATAAGTTGCATATTAATACCACAAGTTAAAGTTTTCCCTCTGCCCCACTGTCTGAAGCTATTCACTCCAGACCCGGGCAGTCCCTGTGGTAAAACAGCCCAGAGATTACTGTTGGCTGCTGCTCTGCTTCTTCGGCTACTGTCAAACAGGAAGAGTTAGCAGGAGCCTCAGCAAACCTGAATCATTTTAAAAGGAGGCAGCATTAAAGACAGACTCAGAAAGTACTTTTAAAAGGAAAAGTGACTTTCTTATTTTACACTTAAGTCTTTCTGCATTAAAACCTATAATATTTTGGCCTGTTAATTTTTTAACAATAACAATAATTTTTTAACAATACATGAATAAATATCCACAGATCATTCAACTCTCTGACCTTTACTCCCACCAAAATTGTTTCTCAAAACCATGGCCTACAAAGATGTTAGCTCATTCTCATACCTCTTTCAAAGTATCTTCCATAGTAGATACTTTGTACTGTTTTGACAGCACTTAAACACAAGCTCTTCTGCCTCATGTCTTATCCTGGTACCACTACAAGCTTCTCAAGGGCACAAAACTCACTCAGTTACACATTCCCTAAAGCCCCTATACTGGTGCTTTCACATCACAGCTATTTAGTGTTTGTCAAATGAATTTCTATGTTGTCAGATCATGGTACCTCCAATTCACTAATGAGAAAACAACAATTCAAGATGCTAACACAGCAATAACATTCCTGCCTCCAGGAATATTGTCATGTTCACAAGAGAAGGAATTTTGAGCCTGCCATGTGCCTCAGAAGTCCGCTACTACTGATTAGTTCCTTTCTCAACAGGAATGAATGAAGAATCAGAGAGGTTATTAGGCACCACCACAGATAATTTGCTTGCTCTATCCTTTTGAAATCCTGTAAAGTTAAAATATACATTCAAGCCATTGTTCTACTTGCTTTCTAACCAATGAATGGTCCAACATGCTGGACTGGTGTATTGTTTACAATACTTGATTAACACTACTTGCCTGCTTTTTCTCAGACATTTTTTTTAAGAGAAAGGGTCTCACTATGTAGTTAAGACTGGTCCTGAACTCACTAAATACCCAGGCTGGCCTCGAATTTGCAGTTAACCTCCTGCCTCAGCCTCCTAAGTGCTGGGAATAACAGGCATGTACCACCATGCCCAGCTTCAGACCACTTCCTGAAGGGTATCTTAGATCTCCATAAAAATCTGCATTTCACAACTATTATGAAACTTTTTCTCGCCACAAATTCAACTAAGTCACATCCTTTTGCTTACTTTCATGGGTAAAAACTTGCTAGAACACAAAATAAACTGCAGAAAGAAGGCCACAGCAGAGAAAACATACTGTACTCAGAGAAGTCCCATTAGCACTCAGTGCTGGGGCATCCCACCCCCACCCCTGCCGAAGGGAACGGCATCAATGCTCCCAGAAGGACTCACTCACCCCACCTTAACTCAGAGCACAACCTCTGAGCAAGCCACAGCAGTGGCTGCATAGGAATATAGCACTATAGAAAAAAAAAAAACAGAAAATACCACTATGAACTGTTAAATCCACTTAGGTTTGGATCTGGGATGCTCCCCTAAATGTCCACATTGTAGAAGGCTTCCCCAGACAGTGGCACTACTGGGAGGTGGTGGATCCTTTAGGAGGTGGGGCCTAATGGAAAGAAATTAGGCCACTGGGTTTATGCCCTTGAGGAGGATTGTGGGACCCAGGTCTCTTCCTCTTTTCTCTTTGTGTCTTAGCTGCCACAAGGTGAACAGTTTGCTCTGCGACATGCTCCCACTACTATATATTGCCTTGCCACAGGCCCAAAAAAAAGCCACGGGGCTAAGAAATCATGGAATGGAATCATGAGCTAATATAAACCTTTCTCCTTTTTCAAAATTTATTTTTATTAGTACATGATTGCAGTACATAATGACCACATTCATCATGGGAAGCTAGTACATGCATCTAACTTACCTTAATTCTTAATTCTTAATATTCTCCTTAATTCTTAATATCTTATTTCCTATTCACTATCTTTTATTTTGCTCTTTCATTTATTTATATTTGGGGTTTCTCACATAAGAAAAACTATGTAACATTTAAGCTTGTGTGTCTGATTTATTTCACTTATCATATGTCTTTAACTCCTTCTGGAAGATACCTACACATCAAAGAGCTGTGTTGAATGGAATTCCTAGTTTTATTTCATTGCGGCAAGTTGACATACTTTCACGGAACTACAGAAAACAGCACTACAGAAGAGTTATCAAAAAAGCATAGGGCTGGGGATTTAGCTCAGTGGTTCCGCTGCCTGCCTTGAAAGCTCAAGGTCCCGAGTTCAATCCCTAGTATCAAAAAAAAAAAAGTATATATCAGGGCCAGGGATTTAGCTCAGTGGTGCCACTGCCTGCCTTGCAAGTGCAAGGTCCCGAGTTCAATCTCTGGTACCAAAATATAATAATAATAAAAATAAAAATAAATAAATATATGCTGAGAGGTATTCTGAATTTCTTTCAATATAAGATAATAACTTAGAACTTGAACTATTAAGATATATAACATTTTAAGGTTAAACTACAAAACATGTCAAAATTCTAAATTTAGTTTCTTTAGTAAATCTGCACCAGAACAGGAGTATCACATTTAAAATTCTTTACCCATTATCCCAAACAAAAATGAAATTTTTAAAAAATTTAGCTGTATTTCTGCTGGGCTTGATGGCACACACCTGTAATCCTAGCACTCAGAAGGCAGAGGCAGGAGGATTGCCCAAGTTTGAGGCCAGCATGGGCTATATAATAAGTTCAAGGCCAGCCTGAACTTACTAGTTTTGAGACAGGGGAGACCCTGAACTTATTAGTTTTGAGGCAGGGGAGACCCTGTCTCAAAATAAATAAATAAATAAATAAAATTTTGCTATACTTCTGTCGATTAACAAAACAATTTTTTTTTTGGTACCAGGGATCAAACTCAAGACCTTGCGCTTGCATGGCAGGCGCCAGAACCACTGAGCTAAATCCCCGGCCCCCAAAACAGTATTTTAAAAATCCAGAAATTGCTATGTTAGCCAATCCTTGCTGCTACAATTTTCTCACAACTAAAATACAAAAGCACATTGAATGAACTTATAACAAGCAACACCCATTCAGCCATGGGCTTTAAGGGCATGGCTAATACCTCAGAAATCTAGACATCTTCAGATGCTTCAGTCTCGTAAGACCCAGCTAGGGATTCTGCTTATCCCACCTCTTCAGCTTTAAGAGGGCTGGGGAAGGGAAGAGGGCCTGAAGCCTCTGCATAACTTCACCTCCAACTCCTCTTACTTTACTGCACCCAGTTCCTCTACCTTCTGCTTCCTGAAGAGCTGAGACTGGCTAGAGAACAGTCTACCTTTATACACACACTCAGGAAAAAAAAAAAACACTGTCTTAGTTCTTCTTAACCCAAGCAAATTCAGGCATCCTTAGTCCATGATACTATTTACAGCAGGGGAAAAAAAATAACCACTGGAAAAACTCAAAGTGTACAAAAATAAGGAAACAATAAATTATGGTGCACCAATTACCAGACAACCATTAAAAGAAGAAGGTAGGTCTATGTGTACTTGTACCTATGGTCTTTTTTTTTTTTTTTGGTACCGGGGATCGAACTCGGGTCCTTGCACTCTATGGTCTTTTAAGTAAAAAGTTAAAAGCAAAACAAAGTATAAAATACACTACAGTTTGGGGTTTTTAATGTAGATGGAAGAATATATGCTTTTATACTAAGAGAACTTTTCTGGCAAAATACAAAAGAAACTAGAAATAATGGTGGGCTACATAAAGCACTAAGGAACTTCAGGTCTTGTTAAAAGGGAGTACACCCTTTTTCACCATTCAAAAAATAAAATAAAATAAAACTTACTATGAACCTGTATCTCTGCTTAGATTTTTTTAAAGACTTAGGCTATAGTCATGATTTTAAAATAAAGCAACAGAAGAAAGAGTAATACCTATTAAAAACAATCTTATCTTTCTAAATTACAGCAGCCCTGCACCACTGTCAACAATGGACTATGCATACACTAGTGGTCTCCTAAGATTATACCACCAGGCATTCCACAGCCATTGCAGCCATCTTAGGTTAAGTAATGCCACATCCCCACAACGACAAAGTCACTTAACATTTCTTAGAATGTGTCCCTGCAAGACTCTATTTTTCTAAATTCTTTGTGGCACAATCTTAATTCAGTATAACAAGTGTGGGTAGAAGAACTAGGAATACACAAAGGTCCCTTCTACCCTCCTTTGTAACTACAGTAACTACTGAATCCCTCACCCCAATGGGACATAACAAAACAGATCGATAACCCATTTGGCAAGCTCACAGAAGATATAAGTAAACAGATATTGAGCCAAATCAATCAGCGAGTCTACAGAAGACACTAATAAAATCACTCCTGTTCAATATAGCTCTGGAAACATTAGCCACAGCAATTAGAAAAGAGAAAGAAATAAAAGGAGTAAAGATAGGAAAGGAAGAAGTTAAACTGTCATTATTTGCTGATGACATGATATTTCACATAAAGGACCCAAAAAACTCAGCCAAAAGGCTTCTAGACTTAATTGACAGATTCAGTAGAGTACCTAGATACAAGGTCAACACTCAAAAAACAATAGCCTTCCTATACACAAATAGCAGACTCACTGAGAAATTCAGGAAACAATTCCTTTTACAATAGCATCCCAAAAAATGAAATATCTAGGAATCAATCTAACAAAGGAAGCAAAAGACCTCTACACTGAAAACTACAGCACTCTGAAAAAGGAGATCCACGAGGATATAAGAAAATAGAAAGACATCCCTTGTTCCTGGGTAGGAAGAACCAATATAGCGAAATTGGCCATACTTCCAAAACTACTATATA